CCATTCACCATCTCCACTGGTAGCTTAAATACAGAAATGAAAGCTTAAATACACAAATGAAGGCTTAAATACACAAATGAAGGCTAGCTCTGCCATTCAGCATCTCTACTGATGGCCTAAATGCATCTCTGACTTAGGCTTAAATAGAGAAATATTTCCTTAGGTTCTATCTCAGATAGATAATTATACTGAGCATACCATTAAAGATGCTGCTGTAACTTACATGAACAACTGGTTCAAATTAAGATTTCCAAATCAGCTTTGGTGTCGGTGTGTCTTGACACTAAAAACAAAGCACTTGGATGTTAATGTTCCACTAGCAAAGTTTTTTGGGGGGGGGATTTTATTCTGTGAAAATTTCCTGCACAGATTTCATGCTGCCTGCCCCCTTCTCCCTGCCCAGCACAGCTGAGGACAGCCCAGGGTGGCTGTCATTCCTAAGGAATGCTTTCTGGAGCTCCCATGAGCCAAAAAAGCCACCAGCACACATAACTGGTGTTTTCAGAGGCTCATCACTTAGCCAGGTGTCCACAGGCTGCTGTCCATTGGGAAAAGATGTTGCCCTCAAAGAACCTGTAAAGTTCTAGGGCTTCTTAGTGAAAGGTGGCAGATGTTTCTGTAGAGTGGATAAAGCAAAATGTCATTCCCCAACCACATTCTTGAGTCCTGCTGAGCCCTCTTAGCTGAAATTTCCACACACAAAAGAAGAAAAAAGCCTTAGGCAGGCATCAGCCTCTGGTGGGAGACTTGGGTGCAAATTTGCCAAAGCCCTTTTGCAGGCTTTTACAAAGGGATGAATGAGGAAATCTTGTCCCAGACAGGCTGTGGGGTTTTTTCCTGCCAGCTGCATGTTTGTCCTGTGGTTGTTATTAAAGACCTGGCTTGCATGTCTGTGGATATATTGTGCTTCATTTAGCAGGAAGACTTTGGGTTTTCCAGGAAAGGATCGGTTAAACCCCAAATATTTAAAAGTTTCAATCCAATTCACAGCTAAACTCTGCATTTGCTTTGTAATAGAGACTTCAAATATGATGTGCCCCAAGCTCAGATTCCCCAGGCAGCTGTGGGGAACCAATGTGGGAATTATAAAAATTTGTATCTGTATATAAACTGCTGGTGTCAACCAAAACTCCTGCACTCATTTTCACAGTGGCTGAGTGTTCACCTCAACAACTCCACTTCTGCAGCTCCAGGAGATTATTAACCATCTACCAGCAAATGGTTGGCCTTTATCTGATCAGAATTTAATATAAATCGTTTTATAGCATGCTGCTTAGTTTTGGGCATTTTTTCAATTAAAATGATTCAGGAGTAAAGAGAAAACAATATTGCTTAATTATCTCAAGCAATATTATTTTTGTATCTTTAATGTTTGGTTTGACTTTCAGTTATAATCCCCTCTTTAAAAGGTTTAAAAGTTTGTGATAAAACCCCATTCTAGGAATAAATGGAATCAGAGCAAAGGACAGACAACTGGTCCCCTGAAAAATTGAAATAATGTTTTCCTGTAGGAGAAAGGAAAATAGGCCTTTGTTTTTAATATACACTGCCATCAAAGGTAAATTAAATTTAAAATGAAATTCTGAAAACATTATTTTATAATAGCTAAGAGAGAGGGAAAGAGTAATGGATCTAAGGGATAGTTTTGGGTCCTACATATAAGTGATTGTACTTCACTTGCAAAAGTACAGATTCACTGAGTTTCATTAACACCTGGTATAGCTGAATGTCCCTTTTTTATCCCAAATCTGAGGTATTCTTGCTGCCTGTGGATAACACTTGAGCCAGACAACAGCAATTCTAGTTTCCATTCCAAACTTCAGTTTGTGGTTACAAGACTGCTTAAATCGCCTTTTTCATTAGGAACACATCTTGCTGTGTCCCTCTGTCACTGGTGTTGTTTCACATAGCAAGAAAGACTGTTAATCAAAAAATGCTCTTCAGCTTCCCATTCTTGTCTGCTTGTTTCTTTTCTCATCATTGTGTTTTGTAGGAAATACAGTATTAGCAAAGATGATGTTTTGGTGTTTAGAAATTTGTCTTACAAGCAGTTTTAGCTTCTAGTTTTGCACCACACACGTAGATGCATCCACAGGGCATTCTTATTGAATTCTTACTCCTGTAAGCTCAGATACTGGCTCTGTAAAATGTATATTAAAAAAATAATAATAATCATTAGAAAAGATAATTGTTCCCCCTCAGCTCCTGTTTCTGTTTACATTTGTGATTGAGCAGATCATACCAGAAAGTGAGTTATTTTTTCAATGTGCACATTCCCAAACTCTTTTAAAAGTACACATAAGAATGTTTAGCAATTGTAGGTGACACAGTTTAATACTCAGTATTTCCATGGCATACTTTGGGTCTCTCTCCCAACAGACTGTAGTACATTTTAAGCACATGGAGACAAACCCTGTGTGCTTATTCATTGTATGTTGCCATTTTTCAAAGCCAAAAAGTCTGAAGAAGAGGTAATAAGTGAATGGAATATTTTCCTCAGGTGGGAGCTGGATTTTCTCCTTTTCTCCCCATTAGCCCAATGCAGACTGCATGGATGACATACCCCCAGACCTGGAGGCGTCCATCGGGGGCCCCCCGACGAACCAGATCACGGGGGCCAGCGACACCACGGTGAACGAGAGCTCCGTGGCCCTAGACCCCCCTGCCCGGAGCGTGGGAGCGCTGCAGGTCATCCAGGACGGGCCCTCCTTCCCCCAGCCCGCTGAGGGCACCTTCACTGCCACCAGTAAGTGACACATTCTGACAGCATTTGCACCGAAATGCATGTCTAGGAACCCCCGCCACACACCCGTCTCTAGTGAGCAGCCTTTGAGGGCTTTCCATTTGCCTGAGGGTAAGTAAACTTAATTATGGTGTATTCTGCTGTACTGATGGTCAGAGTTCCTGCACTTGAAAGCCCGAATGCAGTTAAGCAACACCGATGATCTGTACAAAACCAAATCACTGCATGTTTTCAGTGCCTTTAGTTTTCACTGTGTAAGTTGTGTCAACGGTACCATTGGAACAGGTAATTCTCAAAATGCTTGCATGTCTCTCTGTTCCTAAAAATTGTGCTCTCTTTTGAAAATCTGCTTCTGACAGTTTAAAAGAAATGTTGTCAGCTATTTTGAATGAGGACTGTGCTAGTCTAAAATTCTCATTTTTAGGCAAAATAGAGATCAGTAGAAAATACCTATCTGTTTGATACCGGTTGGTGTATCAAACACCAATAGCGTCTTGTCACCAATAGTGACAAGACTGTTATAGAAAATCATCAGATATACTTGAAGGGAGGTAGAAGAATGTGATAAAATGCAGTTTTGTGTAAGTTCTGGAAAAAATATGCATTTTCAATGGTTTCTAGGTACTGCTATGGGCCTGGGCATGAAAAAGAAGGTAAGTAATAATATTATGTGTAAAAGGTAGGAGACAGAAGATGGCACTAGGCTGAAATGATTTTACATTACTCCTCTTACTCTGTGGAGAGACTTGATAATCCCATTTTCTCTCATGTTGTCATGCCAGTGTCATGGAAGTAAAAATAACTTCTAGAAAGACTGGACTTGTGACCTTAGATACTGGTGACCCAGATTTTTACATTCTGTTTTGTGGATTTCAGGTTTCGGATTTGGTCTAAGTTCTGGATTCAGCAAGGGGTGAGCAGCAAGGTTTTAATCCCAGCCATCTTCCACGCTGCCATCTGGGGGCATTCAGTTTTCTCAAGTCTCCCTGAGTGCTGGCAAGAGCTGTTCAGAACAAGATGGGATTCTGTTCCTTCCAGTAATTGTTTTGAAATGCATTTAAGGCTGGTTCTCAGAGCCAGCAGAATACTGTGAGGCTACAGAAATGCCTGATTTTGCCTTGGTGCCCTTTGTTTTCCACCTTACCCTCCATTTGCCCCCTTAGCTTTGACAATATTGGACAATAGACAATCCTTAGGGCTGGCAGCAGAGCCCACGGACAAGGACCTTGCACCAAGAGCAGGCAAACCACAGAGCATCAGGAGAGCATCATCACCTGGAGAGACTGGCCAGGCCAGGGAAGGGCTGTGAAAAGAGGCTTTTCACAGGTAGAACTGGGCATTGTAGGCAACCTGAACTCTTACGGCAGTGAGAGGGGAACATCCAGGACCTTATGTATAGTTGTGCTATGAATCCAAGTGCTAACTAAATCAGAGGGTAGCTGTAGGCTAAATAACTGGGTGATAGCTGTCAGAGTGGATGGACTTTATAGGCATTATGTCTGTTTATTGTATTTCTCATATCAGAATGCTCAGCTACACAGCACAGGGCTTGCTGAGCATGCCCTTGCTGTGAACTGGCCTGCCTGGCAGTTTGTAAGTGATGGCACTGACTGCTGCCAGGAATCTTTGCTGAAGTTGTGGGTTCTGCCCTCTCTGTACAGCACTACTGATGCCAGCCTGCTCCAAGGCTGAATCTGCACTCCAAGGTTTTTCCCTTGTTATTGAATCTGTGCAGACTCTAAGACTCCAGTGCAGCCTTGACCTGGCCTCCTGCACCCAGCTCCACCAGTCCTTGCACCATCCCTTGCTCCTCACCAAAGTTCAGTGGTCCAGGAGGTAAAGGACTTGCCATCTTCTTTCCTCCCGCTTCTGCAACACCTCCCACTTCGTTGTTGCTGCATTCTTTTTTGTCTGTTGATTAATCACTCTGGTATTGTTGTCTTGGTTTGGGTTTAATTTCCCTTCCTGTGTTTCCAGTGATGGTTCAGAACCAGGAGACCTCCCACAGTGTGTCTGGAGGGAGGGTATTCCCAGAATACTGCTCACATGGGGTTACATTCTGTCTCCATGGTGGCAAAGCTCCTGCGCTTCAGTGGGGCCAGATTTATAATGTCTGGAGCTCAGCCAGTGCTTTTCTTTTTACTTCTGTGGGTATGCTCAGCAGACATCCTGCCTTCTCTCTCTCCCTTTGGTTCCCCATGCTCCTGATACCTGTGGGACCCTCAGAAATGTGGACTACTGTGAACATCTGGACAGGAGTCATAATAAAAAGAGGGGGGAGAGTAGATGGGGGAAATAGTGTGAAATACATAAGAGTTCATCCCAGCTGAGTTTACTGCTCTGACTTCTTCAGCTCTCCGGAGCATGTGACAGATGACAACCTAAGGACCTTTTTCTACAATCATGCATCATGGCAATCTGTGGTGCCCAATTTTTAACAGTGAGTTATGCAAAATGCTGACATTTTTGGAAATCTCGGTGCATGTGGAATTTCCTGCTCTACATGTGATATGAGTGTGAGCTGGGCTTGGCTAAGATCTGAACCTGAAGGAGCTCTGAGCTGCACCAGCTTCAGAGGGTGGATCTGAGATTTGAGGAGACCATGGCGATATTCTTTGGGTCAGGCTTAGCTGGGATTGAATGATATGGTTAAAAAGGTAGTTTTCTGGGAAAGTAGCAGCTAGGTATTCTAAAGGTATGGTGACACTGGCAGGTGAAAAGTAGTTATTAGATTTTATTCTTTTATGGCATCCATGGTCATTTATCTCCCTGAAGCACTTAGTAATTTCTGCAGTAAATAATTTAATGTGCACTGTCTTTGCCAGTAGAGTTTATCTCTTCATAAATACTTCCCATTTTTCAATTTAGACAAGCTTTATGTTCCATCCATCAGGATATCTCATCCCACCACATAGGGCCTCAGAAATCCCACTGGCACTATCTCTGTAGCTGGAAGGAGATCCCTAAATAATTCTAATGCACACATGAGCATGAACAGTGTGAAAAACCACAAACTTTCCTCTAAGGTGTCATACCACCTGCAAAGTGCACAGAGTTTGGCACAGTGTACAGCAGTGTGGGCAGTCTAGACAATATCAGTGGTTCCTTTTCTGCCTCTCATTTTGTTCTTTCCATAAAACCCTGCCAACCTACAGCTCATCATGACTGTTAGGACCCTTTCAAATCTCTCTGATAGCTCTTCATTACATCTATTAATATAACTTTTAGGCAATTATTTTCATCTGTGTGTGTCTAAAATATCTTTGTGAAGAATAGTCAGCCTCTGGAAGTGGATGAAAGTGCATGATGAGAACCTGATCCACTGTTGTCTTGTAACCACTTGACTGTTCCTCCTTGCTGTGAACAGTGGGGTTTTTATAGGTGGAATGTAAAGGGGGAGGAAAAGGTGGAAAATTCCCTAGGTACTAGTTAATGCAGCAGGTTATTAGCACTTGCATTAGCAGGTTGTGATGCTGTCCCAGAGAGAGGATCCTGATGGGACCTAGTTAAAGGCTGAGCTGATGGGGTCCCACGTGCCTGGCATGTGACACGAGTCCTGGTGGCTCTGCTGAAATCCTCTGGGGATATTGCACTGAGTAATTGTCATGGACCAAAACTTCCAATGAGCTGAGTTCCTGGATTGCTTTGGGACCAACACTGATGCCAACATGGTGGTTTCAAAGAGCCACCAAGTGAGGCACACCTGGCACTAAAAATGTGCTCTGGATTGTCACATACACCACAAAACTCCTGCCAGGCTGAATGCACAGGGAAGTTTTCCTGTTATAAAACTGCTCCTTCTTTCCATATGTTGAGGAGTGAAATACAAAGTGTTTCTGCACAGAAAATTGTGAAAAGGGATGTACGAAACTGCTGTGAAGCAAGGAGGAAATTTAAATTCTAATTTATTTTTTATTTTCTCTTTCACATCTCCTGTGTCCATTGGCACTCTGTACAGAGTAAGGATGAAGACATCAGATCAATAACGTCCCTTTTCCCCACGGAGCTGTGATAGGGCTCAGTCAGAGGGCATGGTAAAAACAGCACAGTGCACACTAGCATCAAAGTTGCATTAATGAGCATCCACCCAAACTGGCTTTTCATTGTGACTGCCTTCTGCAAGTGCCAAAGCATTTGACTGTTCTTTTCATTGTAACTCATGGTAACATATCTGAGGCACTCAGGGAGTAGGCAAGAACATAGGCTCTGCTGGGTGGCAATAATTAAGCCATGAATTAATATACACAATGTATAAAACAACTTTCCTGGAGATCTCTGTGAATGTTTGCTCTATTTTCCCTCTTGAGGTAGCATAGCGCTATAAATCAATGAAAAAAATGCTCCTAAAGGACAAGTGCACAGCAAATGTATAGAACAAGGGTGCCACTGGCAGAGTCAGAATATGAAAAGCACTTAGCTGAAATAGCTTTACTAAATTTATTAAATTGTGGCATCTCAGTGGGGGGAGAAAAATCACACAAAGGGGGTTTAAAATCTGCCAGTTCCTTGCCCAGTAATTAAATACACAGTGTTCTTATAAAAGTGTGTTCAGCTGCTGAGGTTTCTTTGGGAGACAGCCACCACTCGTGGTGTGTCAGGTATGCATGAGAAACCTGACTTCAGATTTTTCCCCCAGGTGCTCAGGATATTGAATTCAGCTAAGGTGTTGCTGAACTTCATTGCTTCCCTGTAATTGCATTTTGAAAAGGCACCAGCAAACTGTCTTTCTGCACATGAATACCTGTCAATCTGAAAGACCAAAATAGCCGTAAAGAAGGGAATTTTAGAAGAATGACCCTCTACCAACCTGCTGTAAATGTATATTCCACAGGGCAGAAACAATTGCCTGTGTTTGCAGTAGTTCCCTTTGTCTCTCTTTTATTCCTGAATTAATCCTTCAGTTCTTGGTTGATTTTGAGTGACAGATACAAGACCACTTCCCTTGTTAAAACTTAAAATGTATATATGTATATATGTACTATAAAGTGGTACTCAGCTTCTAAAAGCCCTTTTTCCAGACTAGATAAAAAATATACTAATATTTTAATCTTGGAGTTTTTGTTATTTTATTTTATTATTTTATCTTGTGTTTTCTAAAGGCTCCTGGGATCCAACTTGTTCTGGAACTGCCTGGGAACCTCTTGGCCATGGCCACTTTTCAATGAGAGGAGTGAAAAGTGAAGGAACTTGAATAAAAAAGGAATGGCCAAAGGGGTTAAAAATGAACTTAATGCCAGAGTTTTGACTCTCACTTTACAGTAGTGTAACAAAGGGAAATAATAACGAGCAGTGCAAAGGCATTTAGGGTTTTTGAAGTTATATGGTTGGTTAAAGCGGTTTTGTTACTTTTATTTTTCTAGGGAGGTATCATTATATGGGGTAAAAACTCTTTCTTCTGCCTCCCCAAGCAGTCTTAATGCTCAGAACACAAAAAGAGGAGGAACAGGACTATATAATAACTTAAAAAATTGAAACAAAGGTTTTTCATGCAGAGAAACAGTGATTTTGAGTTACTCTGTTCCAATTTGAGTTCCACATATAGAATGTTAGGGAGGCCTTGGTGCTAGTGGTGGTGGCCAAGTGACCTAATGAACATATTTTCTAGTGAAATTCCAGCTGCAATTTGTTGAAACTTCAATTGACCTTTCCCATCCACTGCTCTAAGAAGAAATTCAGAAAATGGATGTCTTGGGTTTGGCCTTTGTTGTGTTCCCATGAGCATTTCAGCAAGCATCCCTGATAAAAGCTGGGCTTTGGAGGGGATTTTCCCATGCCAGAATGGGAATTACACTGTGACTGGAGGCTGATTTGTAGGGAAATGCTAAATGCCCCTAGATTTATATACCCCAAAACTGTTTCTGTGGGTGTCCCTGCAGGATTCCATACCAGCCAGCTATCTTCATAAATTTTTTTCAGACAATATTTGAGTGTAGCAGGCCAGGCCTGGCACTTCAGATTTATTTTTAATGGGAAAAAAAAAAAATGTTGAGCTATTGCATGATTGTCAGACGAATGTTCCAGTTAAAAGGAGATTGGCATCAACTGATTTAAATTTTCCAAAATTAACACACAGGATAAACAGCTGACCTCTTCCTTTTTGAGAGCTTTTCTGGACTGTTGTTCTGTACTTATGTGTTCTCTGTGAGTGCATTAATATACTCAGACAAGCTTGTTAGAATTTTATTTGGTGCACTAGCCCTACCAAGCAACATTTTGGACATCTCTGTTCCAAACAAACCTCCTGGTCATATTTTAATCCTCATCTCATGTGCTCATGATGGGGTTTATATGTGCTCATTTTTCTTTCCTGTGGAATGCTTTTGATTAGATAAAAATATTGCTTAATCCTCTAAGTAAACAGTGAAAGCAACCTAAAGAAGATGCAGAGGACATTAAAAAGGTTTACTTTTCCAAAAGAAAAGGTTTTGCTGTAATCTCAAAGTTTAGGGGTTTTTTTATTATTTCTAAACTAATAGAAAAAATAGAAAAAACTAATAGAAAAGAGAATGTGTTGCAGGGTTTGATGGGCTTGTGATGGGATTTTAAGAAAAGGAGAGTTAGCTGCTGAACTCATCTGTCACTGCCAGGGGGCCCTAAATTTTAAGTGTGTTTTCCATTAGGATCAAAACTTTCCACTGTTTTCCATTAGGATTAAAACTTCCTTCTGTAAGGATTCTGTGAGAGTGGATGTTAAAGAAAGGTTCCTTGCAGAATTTTGAATTAGGAACTACAAAAGAGGAAGAGTATGGGTACTGTAGAAGCTCATAGGGAGGAGATTTAAATCGTAGAATGCTCTGAAAGCACCTACAATCTATTTTTAAAAACTACTGCAATTCTCATAAAATTGAGAGGCAACACTTCAGCTTGTCATGTTGTTTTCCTTCCTTGCTAACAGACATCTAAACAGCAGAAATTGTTCAAGAGGCTGGATGCCCTGCTGTGAAGGAAGCAGAGTGATTCTTGTCTGTTAGTGAAACAAGAGACGAGAGTGCTGAGGGACTGAGGTGTGGGGTCAAAGATGGAACAAAACACTTTGCAGTGAATAAAATCTCATGGGTGGTATCTCTGTCTGTGGCATGGGGGTGGAACTGGGTGATCTTTAGGGTTCCTCCCAACCCAAGTGTCTTTGTGATTCCCTGAAGACCAGATGTGCAGATAACCTGCTAAGGACCTGGGATGTGGGGATGAGCTGATCCAAGAGCATAGAGTGCAAGAGGCAGTGTCATGGCTCCACTGGCTGTTCTGGCAATCCTTGTGACCAATTTTTGACTGAGTTTCCAGTGGGAAAAAGGAAAGTCCACTCATGTAAAAAGAAAATGATGTTGCAGCGTGTGGGCCACAGAAGGAGTTTCCCTGCTGGTCCCAGGAACATGATGAGCATGACCTGGTAAGAGTAAGAACAAAGAGGAAATTAAACTGAAAGCAAAAATATTCTAATTCCTTGTGTCATACCAGGCAGAGGCATGTTTGCTGTATCACAGAGAGGATTGGCAGCTGATCAAAGTTCCCAAAATGTCAACTAGTCTCTCACAGAGAGGAGACTGATTTCCAAAGTGTTGGCTACTAAAATAATGTTAATATGTGCTGTGCATTTCAAAGGCTGAGTGTTCTGATTCATGGGTAAAATCCCAAAGACTTAGTATATGCTCATTAAAGGTAGATATACATATATACACAATGGGAAAAAATAAGTTTTACTTTTCTAGCCAGTTGGGCCCAACTACTTCCATGCAATAACATCTGGTATGTTTGCTCAGTCTTTTGCAAATGTGTTTGCTGTCTGCTCTCTGTGTTATTTCCCCTTATTTGGACAATTTTTTCTTACTTTCTTTTGGAAAAAGCATTTGGGTGCTGGTACTTTCTGCACTCTCTCTGAAAATGAGTTTATTGTTCTTGCCAAAGCCCAAAAGGTCTTCTCAGGTAACTGGTGTTAAAGTTATTGCTTAAGTACAACATGCTCCAAATTCAGGTTTCAGAAAATTAGTTATATTACTAATAAATTTTCAATTTGCCATTTATAGGCATTTTTAAACATGTGTTTTATTTAATGTTATGTTAGTGCAGTTATGGCCCATTCTAAAGTGCTACAATTCTCAAGATGATACAGTAGGAATTTGAAACTTATAAAATGATCCAAGGAGAACTGTGAGATGATTAACTTGAGAGTAATTTTAACAATCAGTAGTAATTTTAAAAGAAGGGATCTCAGTGATAAATTTAATTGGTATTGTTGTGAAATAGTTGCCATTTGAGGTAATAATTTCATAAGATGCTCTTCCTCTTAGACTAGAAACAGCCAAGGGATGAAATGGCAAGGCCACAGTAGGAGGTAGCAATAAACTCTGTAATGGTAAAGTGCTTTCTTAGACAGACAGAGAAAAATAGAGGACTCTAGGTATGTCTCTCTCATAAATCAAGTGTGATTAATTGTATCCTGGTTGTTCTTATACTGGAAACAAAATCTGAATAGTGCTGCTTGCGTTGGCATTCCTCTGTGGCTTCAAGCTGAGCAGAATGTGTTTTGATTGTTTTGATAAAGATCCCATATCAATGCCTCCAGTACTCTGGATATATTTTCTGATCAGGTCCTCAAAGCTCTAGGAGATGGCACATTCCTGGTTTCTTATGAAGCAAAATCCTTCTAGGCACATCTGAATGTTTTCTTCAGAAGTGAGCCCTAGACTGAAACAAGGTATTCCATGGGTTTTAGATACTTGTCTAGATCTGGGAGCATAACTAACACCAGGGGTTTCATGGCTTTGTTTAAATCTGTCTTCACAAACTGAAGAGTTGTGAAATAAGGTATATTTCACTACAATGAGGATGTGAAATCAGTAGTGGTACTTCTCTGCTTACTGCCAGTGGGTGCAATAGCAGAGAGCTACCCAAAAGTCAGGAGAAGGAAAGTGCCACCATCAGCTTGTTTCTCACCCCTGGGTGGGTCATTGCCCATCTCTGGTGCCCATGCCTGCATGCTTGGCAGAGCAATGGGTTTGTGAATGCACTTTTCACTCACTGTTCAGTGCTTAGCTCCCTCCCAAGCCTCCTGAACAGTATCAAATTCTTAGAAACCCATTGCCTGACCTCTTCCTTTTGGAATATTTATTAGTGTACAACAGCTACAGACTTACACCAATGGTCATGAATAGCAGCAGCAGTAGGTAACTATGACTAGTGTGCCATCTTACTGTTTTCAACACACCAGAGTAATTAGCTATTTTCATCTTGGTCTGATTGCACTAATATTCAAATATAAGCATCACTTGATGCACTTTTCAAGAAGCAAGAGCTGTGCCACCCTTGTGTAGGCCCCTTCCAAATCTACGTGGTGATATTCCTCCCATGCTGCTGTGATTGATCTAAAATAACATTGGCTAGAGAAGGAGTTTGGTGCATTTCACCTCTCAAACAAATGTGTGTCAGGAAATACAAGTGAGTGGAAAAAGTCTGTCTGGAGAGGCAGCGTGCTGTGGTGTATTGTGTTTCTCTGACATGAGAGGAATGTGGCAGGGAGGTCTACAGTTCCCTGCTGCAGGCACTGACACTCTGGCTGGAAAGCAGCTTGAGATGTGCCTTTAGCTTCATTAAGCAAAATGCTTTCTGCCCCGGGCAAGAAGTGCTGTAAAGCACAGTGGAAGTATTATAGTGTGTGTGGTTAGGCATGGTTGCCAATATCAAGCAGCTAAAATCACAAGTCAGGTATTCCAGCATAAAATCAGTCTGGAAAATAGAGATTTAATTTTTAAAACACTTCGTTTCCTTTTTGCCTCTTAAGCTTCACTTATTTTTAAGTGAAAGCTGAGATCTTCACTGAAAGTTGAGATCCTCATCTGATTTCAGGGCTTTAAGAAAAACAGCAAATTACAAAAACCTTGCAGAAGAGCCACAAAGGTTGTTAACAGCGAGCCAGGCATCTCCTGCAGAAGCTGTGTGATTGAATAAGCTTTGTCATTGCAAATGGGATCTGAAAGGCAGGGATGCAAAACGCAGGCTAAGCTCCTGGCACTGGCAATGTCGCTGAGGTTTGCTTACCTCTAACAAATAGCAGTAACTGTGCTGGCTTGTGTCACTGAGCAGCCAGCCAGAAATCCCAACAAACAAAGCAGCAGGATCTGGCAAGGCTGTGTTGTGTGGGGCAGCTTGCAATACGGACCTTGCAACAGGGTTACCTACAGCTGATTGTGTCTGTGTGACTTCTGCAGCCTCCCAGAGCTTCAGAAAGGTTTTAAACTGTGTGCTGGGGTCCCAGCAGGACTCCTGTGTGCAGCCAGCAGGGGATGCTGAGGGATGCACTGATTCCTTGTGGAATGCACTGCAGCTTCCAAGGAAATGGCAGGGGAAAGGGAAGGTGTAAGGATGGTGATGTCGAAGGTGCTCTCCCCACTCTGCCAAAGCTGTATCTTTAGGATTGGTAGCAAACAAGGAAGGTGGAGTGCTTCTGTTTCCAGGTACTGTCACAGTGCTGGAAAATCAATGCCAGAGCATAGCCATAGGCATTTTTAGGATCACTCCTTTTCCTGCCAACCTGCACTTCAGTTCCAAAGGAGACCACAAAAGCCCACAGTGCAAAGACTGAGATCCAAGAATGTGAATAATTGTATAGGATTTGTAAAGGAAAGCTCGAGTTTACTGGCTTGCAGAGAGTGAGCTGCTGTACCTCCATCTGGTATGAGGTGTGTGAGCTGCAAATCTGGCCCTGTTCTATTGCCTCTCTTGAACTCTTGGTGGTGATTCTGGTGTTGGAGGTGTATGAGATGCTCTGATGTACTCCAGGACCCAGCAGCTCACCTGAAGGTTCAGCGTCATTTAAAACCACTAAATCTGAAGGATGTATCATTCAGCTTGTAAATACTTCCTCCACCTCTGGTGGAAGCATTTAGTCAGAAGCAATGCCTTTACTAATGTCATATGGAAGGGCAAAAAAAAAAAAGATATAAACATGTTGTGTGCATTAATTATTTATCTTGCAATCAAGAAAGCACAAAAGCAATCCAGGGTGCAAACTGGGCAGAGTTGCAAAGGGAAAACTGGCTTTCAGTTTGAATAATGCACACCCCATTCAAGCTTTCTCTGCAGAACATGAGGTCTAATCCCAGCACATGTGGGGGGTTTAAAATCTAAAATTTTTTAAAATCACGCTGCTCTTGAGAGGTGATTAACTGTGCTCACTTAGCTTCAAGCGAATAATTAAACTGTGAGGAGTTATTATTTTCCTGGCTCCTTTGTCGTGTTTCTTACTTATTAATTCTTAGAGATTCAATTTCTAGATTTTTTATCATCAATCAGACCCTGCTTCTAATGTCTAAAAAATAAAATATGTAAACGAAAAACTGCCACAGATTTAAATACATTGTATTGTTACAGTATAAATACCATCTCTGTAATTAAATAACTTGAAAATATGAGCCATCAAATTTTTGTCTCAGAGACTCAGCCACCTATGAAGGTTTTGTGCCTTTGAAAATCTC